GACTGGTGTGAGGTGGTATCTCATTGAGGTTTTGATTTGGATTTCCCTGATGCTGAGCGATATTGAGCCCTTTTTCATGTGTCTAACTGGAATTTAAGTAAAAAACAAAAATAGAATAAAATCGCAAACACACTCTACCCCATTCCCACAAATTCCTGATTCCCATTCCCTGCTTTCCTTTTATTTCCCACAATACTCATCATTTTGACAGTCCATTTAATATGTCTATTGTTCTCTATATTCTCTCCCCACTAAAATATAAGCTCCATTAGGTGCCCCCTGGCACAAAGTATACACTCAATAAGTATTCGTTGAATAAATGAACATGCTTCTGAGATCATGCATATGATGGCACAGAGCTATAATTTGCTTCACATTTCCCTTGCATCAATACCACAATTCAATTACCCAATCTGTTGTTGAAAGACCTTTGGGTTATTTCCACTTCTGTTCTTTTGTTTTTGACTCTTAACAAGAAATGCTACTGTGCTTATTTTTAAATATGAATCCTGGTACAAGAAATGCAGGAGTTTCTCAAGGATGGACACTTAATTGAGGACTTGTAGTAACACTGAGTATGCAAATTTCAACTCCCCTAGCAGTCAGAGCCCAACTCTCTGCCAAAGTGGTTGTGTCAATCTAGACCCACCAGCATGTAGGGGCACTCACATTCCTCCACATCCACCCCAACACTCATTGTCAGGTTGCTCATATTTGCCAGCTGGGTAAGTGTTTATGCTATCCCACTGTGCTCTTACAATGTATTTCTCTGAATATCAATGAGATGAACCATTTTCCCTACACTTCTTGGTTTTCCTTCTTTCTGAAGGGCCTATTTAAGAATTTTGTCAAGATTTCTATTGGATTGTCTTTTCCTTATTGATTCCCAAATTTTATAAGTCAAAGTCCAGTCAAGAAAACCAAAACTACACAAGGTATTTTATTTTTTTTTAAAGATTTTATTTATTTATTTAACAGAGAGAAAGAGACACAGCAAGAGAGGGAACACAAGCAAGGGGGAGTGGGAGAGGGAGAAGCAGGCTTCCCACCGAGCAGGGAGCCCCACGCGGGGCTCAATCCCAGGACCCTGGGATCATGACCCCAGCCGAAGGCAGACACCTAACAACTGAGCCACCGAGGCGCCCTACACAAGGTATTTTAAATGGAGGGGATTTAATACAGGAAATGGTTACACAGGTGGTGGAAGGCTGAAGAGAAAAAGGGGGAGGAGGGAATCTTGAGGTAACCTACTTTTTTTTTTAAGATTTATTTATCTGAGAGAGAGAGCACACACACATGAGCGGGAGGGGCAGAGGGAGAGGGAGAGAGAATCTCCAGCAGAATCCATGCTGAGTGCAGAGCATGATGCAGGGCTCAGCTCAATCTTATAACCCTGAGATCATGACCTGAGGCAAAACCAAGAGTCAGACTTTTAACCAACTGTGCCAACTGGGCACCCCAAGGTAACCTAGATACTAATAATATCA